CATATATAGATATTTGGATACAAATGAGAAGAGTTTTTAAAAGATTTTTTGTAAAAAAAAATATTTTTTCTTTTAAGTTGAGAAATTCTCAAAAATCTTTCTAAAATATTCAAACAGACTCACAGTCACCACCAGCAGCTCATATTCTTGACTAATATCAGAAGAAAATTATTATATAGCTTCAAACATTATCTTAGCACCCCCATAACCGATCTAATTAAATTATATTGTAGAACACTAGAACCAGCATAGCTTTTGTTTTTTGCTAAACAACAATAGCAATGAGTATGAATCTGAAAATTATAGTACAAATTAGTCAAACTAACTATGACTAAGCTGACTCAAATATAAAACCAGTATAGCTCGCACAATGTCAGTGCACCTTATTCACCTCCAAGCCACCAAGTTTTGCTGACATAAGGTTTGCTATTACCTAGATATTATTTGTGATGAGTTATTACCTTCATATATATTTCACTTTTTTTTAAAATTATTTTTCTTCTTATTTTTTTTTTCTTATTAACCAGGGTATTTCATAGTCAAAAGCTAAAGATCAATAATTCAAAGTACAGAAACCTATTTAAGAAGTTAACATCTTCCAATAAATGTTTTTCCATATGGATCAGAGATGGTTTTTGTTATTGTCTTTACATATTCACCTACTCATTTTATCTATTATTTTTTCTCGTTTCTTTACAATTTTTCTATTTTAAACACTCGTACACCCAAAAATAAAATGGACTATAGGTTGATTTTTTCATACTCCAATATGAAATTTGCGACGAATTAGCAGCACTAATCGCGACACTTAAACAGGCACACTACCTGTAAGAATTTAAGTGTTTGGTTTGATATATAACCGTGTGAAGTTATTTATTTGCTGATTTGTGGTCAGTTATATGTTAACTAAACATGTGATTAATTAGAAGCATCGAGTAAAAGAGATCTCATGAAATTAATAAATCAAACTAGAATTTTCTGATCGATATTCTTCTGGTACTCTTTCGGATTCCAAATTTTATAGTGTGACCTACACCGTACGACGAACTATTTCATGAATGGAGAAATTCAACGTTTGGCTTCATGTCAAAGAGGACGACGGGGTTGGCTCTAGAAAGGCGTTTTGGAAATAGTAGTAGACATGCTGCAAAACACAAATTCTAGGTGCGTCTAATATATTAATTTGAATTAATTCAAACTGTTTGATAATTTCTAATTATCGATTGAATGAATATAATCTTAGTTTATTAGAGTTTTGACGAGAGCATCTGAACGGGACCCACATTTTCGAGATTGGTCGGTTGTCATCTCCGTCAATTTGACGTCTACCTCAGTTTCCTTCCCTACAAAATCATGGCAAGAGAGAAAAAAATATCTGTTTACCATAAAAAAACCACATTAGGCTTAATGCCAAAGTTGCATCACATGCCTAAACTAATCTCTAATTTAATTTCGGAAATTGCTACAAATAATAAGCTACTTAAGTAATCAATCCTAGACTCCTAATCAAATATATGTTGAACTATTTTTAGAGATTACTCAAAAACCTAGGAGAAGAAATTGAATTATGTTACTTAATTACATACATTTAATTTGTTCCTATATTATTTCACATGTAGACAACTACTCTGTTGCCCATGCCTGATGTGGAAAGATGTACAGACACAAAATATGTACCTAGTATTAATAGAAGACATTGAAAACAAACTGAAACTCGTAGAAAAAAATTATATTACATGAGAAAAAGACTTTGCATGCTCCAAAAGAATACGACCAAGTATCTTGTGGCATGCATGCAATGTTGCAGATAGGTGCTCCCTAATAACAGGTTACAAAATCTGTTTCTTGAAGACAACATGCGTAATACTGTATTTCGAATTTATAACATGGCGTGTGTTGTGTGTGTTTATAGGACATACATTTTGAGGAAGATAACGATAATGGCCACCGCAAATGTTAATAATTGATCTTCTTCACCTGAAATATGTTATTGGCATATTATAACATATTGTGTGTTTGGTTCAACATTTACAGAATTGATTTTAAATCAAATTAATTTTATTTAAAATTAACTTTAAAGTACTGAAGTGGTTTACATGCATTTAGATTAGATATTTTTGCCTTGAATGCAATTTGTTGTAAGATTTCATATGATTTCTAATAAAACTGAGGGTTTGAAGATAAAATAAATTTTCCCAACAGTAATAGCCATTTATATCTTTACTAAATCCAAATTAGAAGCAAAATCAATTATGATATTTTTCGATACTTATTATAAAAAAAATCAAATAATTAATTTATTGATATTTATTATAGAACTTAAATAATTAATTTATCATGATTAAGAAAAGTTAGTTTTATTGGTAAGATCAATAAATATATAATTAAATTTTTATTTTTTTCTAAAATTAATGAGACACTTCATATGTGTTTATAAAGTTTTTGCATTTTAAGAAAAGAAAATGAGATTATTAAATAGAAAGAAATAAATATATAAACTTCACTTACTTAATAAACTAAAAAAATGTATTTATAAAGAAAAAATTGTAATGCTTGAAACTTAATGGATTAAGTCTTATTAAAAAGACTAAACCAATTTAAAAATTTGTTTTATATAATAAAGATGCAAGGTAAGGTAGTACTTTTTATTGCAAAACCAAAAACCACTTTATTGGTTAGATAATCACATGATGGACTATTTAAATCTCGTAAGTAATTTTAACAGATGTTTGATAATAGTCAATGGATTAATATCAAAATTCAAATATGTTAAGTGTGCGTTTGGATTTAGATAAATGTTACTATCATGTCCTTACTCTTTTAAATATACCCTTTTTATTTGTTGACTTAATAAAATTACAATTGTATGAAATTCACTTCTTATTTAACAATTTTTACTCACGATCTATTAGTTTATAATAATTTTTAACCAATTGTATAAAAGTTTTTTCTTTTGTAAATAAAAGATTATTATTAATAAAAACCAATAAAAGAAAGTATACTAGAATAAATGGATATTAGATAGAGAATTTATCGTTAACATTTCTCCTAAATTTGTTTGATGATCTAAAGATGTCGAATTACCAACTAATGTAATTTTAGATAAATATTTTCATATTAAGAAATTAATTATATATGAATTCAAAATTATACTTTATTTAATAGACTTTTACGTAAATTTTGAATTAAATATAAAATTTTATAATAAATTTCTCTACTAATCTACTTTTAGAATAAAAATATTAAAAAAAACTAATTTCAAAATTAATTTCAGTTAAAATCAGTTTTACCCATATGCATACTAAATATACTACATAGCAGTTTCTATAATAGCTACTGGAATGATTATTGGTGAGGACAATAATGATAATGGGCTTGATTAAGGCGATAAGGCTTAGCGTTGAATAAGGGCAAAAACAATAATTGTATGCTTATAGAGATAACATACATAGTTAATGCAATCTAATGTCATTAAAGTGCAGCACAGTGCAGGATGTTTTCCCTAAATGAACTTGAAGAAGATAGATATATCCAGTTTTATCTCCGCAAAATAAAGGAATATTTGCAAAATTTGAACCCATGACTTTTTTATCACAAGATTGATCAATTTTATCCTAGTATCAAGCCTTGCCCTCTAGCTAATGTCATTGTAAAAAAAGAAGAAAAAAAAAAACAAAAAAAGCCGTATAAAAATGCAAAAGTGTAATAATACATAAACACTTTTTATATATCATATATATTTTATTAATGTTTATTACTTTTTCCTTTTATTACCTAATATATCACTTATTATAAACTATAAACAACTTGCACGTGATAAATACTTGAACTTTACTCCCTCAGATTTTATTATAATAAGACTCAGATCATAACTGTAGTTTGGTCTTATTCGTAACAATCGATCAAGAATGTCTTTTATATTAATTATTTTTTTAACGCGCGATAAATACTCTAAGTTGAAGTTATTTATCTTAATTGACAGAGTATTAGTCTAACATTGAGTCAAAAAAATATATATAATTTAGGACAAATTTAACACTATCATATTAATTGACAGAGTATTATTAGTCTAACATTGAGTAAAAAAAAATATATAATTTAGGACAAATTTAACACTATCATATCAACTTTTATAAGTCTATTTTTTTTAATAAAAATATGAAAGATTATAAAGATGAGATCAAATCTAGGTCTCTATATTTCTACTACTCTAATTTATTTTCCTTAATGCTAAGTTAACACTAGTGCTTTATAATTTTAATTGCAAATAGATAATTGTGTTTTATAAAATGCATAAAAAATATTATATTTTTTAGAATTGAAAACTTTGATATCTAACATACGCAAATTACCTTTCTTTTTTTAATCAGGGACAAATTAGCTTAAACCATGCAATAATTTCTGTTGAATAGAATTTGATGTAAATTAAAGTTTTCCCACATGCAAGAGGACAAAATAGATGAACAGAAATAAACCAAGATGGCCCATAAAATGTCTTCTCAGTAGCCCAGTGACGTGATCTCCATACTCCCATCTTCCTCTCCACTCCCCTATTCCTTTCACTTTCACCTTTCACCTCCCTCTTTCCCTGGCTTTATTTAGAAAAAC